TACTTTTACTCAAGTAATATTCCTAGAGGAGACTTTAATTTTTACCAAAGTAATTTTACAATAAAATTATTGTACTTTTACTCAAGTATTTCTTTGAGGTACTTTATACAACAGTATATGATTATGATTTCAAATAAGAGCATTTTTTTCCACGGCTGCCACCTGCTGGTGAACAGAGAGCGTACCTGTGGGATCACTCGGGGTGTCCGGGCTGTGCAGCATTGTTCTCAGCTGACTGATAATCGACTTCAGCTTCTTGTTTTCCTGTTCCAGCTGACGTTTTTCTGTTGACGTCTGTTCCAGCTGACGTTTTTCTGTCGACATCTGTTCCAGGTCCATCCTGAGGTTTGAAATGACCCAAATGAGCTTTCAAACACAAGACAAAACCATAAGAATCAAACCAAAACAAGCCGCGTTGTTGATGGAATGTTATTGTTTTATTATTTAAATTCATACAAAGAACGACATCAGGTTTTGAAAAAAAAAAAATTCTCCAAGCATGAGAACGGTAAAGTGAAAAGTGTTGAAACTTTGACACAAAGAGAGGAAACGACACAAGGATCACTTTAAAAAAATGTTTTAACGGTGACTGTAGTTTTACTCGTCTTACAGACTGTTTTAGCCCTTCTCACTCCTACTGGCTTGTTTTGTTATGAAAAAAAAAAAACGATTTGACAAAAGAGGCTCATTTTACAATTTGATTGTTCCAAAGTTCAGACAAATCAAACGTGTTAAACACGAGAACAGATTGTGTTAATGAGCATGCGAGTCACATTAAGCTGACCTACTGAACGAAAAGGCTCAGGGGAAAAAAAGGTGCAAGTCTACCAAACGCTGGTACCGCCTGATCACAATTCTTCACTACTTTGTACAGTATAACATACAACTTTATTTACCAAAATACAGTCTTATTACAGGTTAAACACTTCAGGAATCAACAAAATCACCTCTTACAGCAGCTACTTAAGTCATTTTAAAAATTGAAGTGTTTACATGAGATGAAGCGAAAGCAACCTTGAACCACACGATCAGGACGAGCAGCAAAGCAAAACATCAAAAACTCTGATTATAGAAACTCTTCAGCCGGAACAGCCGCACGCCGCTTCAGCCTCTCGCTCTTCCGATGATGGCCAGAATGTAGAGGAAGATGTTTATGATGTCCGTGTAGAGGTTCAGAGCAGCGAACACGTATTCTTCTGGACTCAGAGCCAGTTCCTTGTTGCCAAGCAGCAGCTGTGTGTCCACCGCCAAGAACTGCAAAAAAAACCACAGACGTTCACGTCAAACATCACTGCGCTTTCTCTATGGGTTAGCTTAGGTACAACACTGTGATATGAAGAGATTTGTATGTTMATTTTACTCCCCACCCCCGCCGCTGAAAACTGTACAAGAGGTTGTGGTTCTGGAATGTGAACAAAATGATTGAAAAGTGTTCAAAAATACAGAAGTAGACAAGTTAAAACAGCAGAAATTTAAAGTGCCTGTGACATAATTTTTTTTATAATAAATATGAATGTACAGTATCATGTTTGTACATCAACCTGCTTAATCCTAGTCATCATACACTGACAGAAGACTTTATTAATATTACAGTGGGGAAAATAAGTATTTAGTCAGTCACCAATTGTGCAAGTTCTCCCACTTAAAAAGATGAGAGAGGCCTGTAATTGACATCATAGGTAGACCTCAACTATGAGAGACAAAATGTGAAGAATTTTTTTGCAAATAATGGTGGAAAATAAGTATTTAGTCAGTCACCAATTGTGCAAGTTCTCCCACTTAAAAAGATGAGAGAGGCCTGTAATTGACATCATAGGTAGACCTCAACTATGAGAGACAAAATGTAAAGAATTTTTTTGCAAATAATGGTGGAAAATAAGTATTTAG